ATCATTACGAACGGCTAAAATTTAGCCAGTAAAAATTGTTATAGGCTGTAGTGATTTTTGCAAAATCAATATAGGCTACATCCCCATTTAAAAAATATAATTAATATATTTTTTATTATTAAAATAATATTTTAATGTCGCTATGGATCATAACGACACCACTTTTTTATTATTATTATTTTTATTTTTTAATATTTTCATTTTATTTTAAATACTTATTTTTTATGTTTTTAATTAAAACTACACAAATAAATAAATTCAATTAAATTTATATTTTTAGTTTTTTGTTTAATTTAATTTAATTTATATTTTTTATTTTTTGATTAATTTAATTAAATTTATATTTTCAGTTTTTTGTTTAATTTAATTAAATTTATATTTTCAGCTTTTTGTTTATAAATTTAATTAAAAATAATTATTTGTGTAGTTTTAATTAAATTTTTTGTTTAAGTCTATTAAGATTTTTTTATATGTTAATTTAAAAAAAACTGACAAAAAAATAAGTATTTAAAATAAAATAAAAATATAAAAATAATAAAAAAAATAAGAAAAAAGGAAAAAGGGGTGTCGCTATGGGTCAAAGCGACTTTGTGTCGCTATGGGCCCTAGCGACATGTTTTTTAATTTAATTTAATTTAATTTATACTTTCAATTTTTTGTTTATAAATTTAATTAAAAATAATTTTTTGTGTAATTGTTTTTTATTTAAATTAAGTCAAGGAAAAAATATAAACAAAACTTAATAAATAAATAAAAAGAATTATAAAATTAAAAAATGGAAAAAAAATTTGATAAATTAAATATGGAAAATTAAAAATAAAAATTGTTATTTGTGTGCTTTTAATTAAATATGGAAAATTAAATATTTTAATTGTTATTTGTTTTGACCTCCCATTGGATACATCCACGGTTCAAAGACACGTGACGCGCATGCACACGAGTCGTTATGGCCTATAGTGACACAATGTCGTTATAGGTTATAGCAACTTCTATTTTTCCTTTTTTTTTTTTTAATTATTTACTTATTTTCTTAATTTGTTATTTTATTTTATATTATCAATTTAATATAAATTTAAATTTGTAATTATGTTTTATCCATTTCATTTTCATTTTATTCCTTCATTTAATTTGTTAATTTTAATTTATATCTTTTAAATATTTTTTCAAACCATTTTTCCTTCAGTATATTTTTTAATTTTTATATTTTATATATTTTAAATATTTAACAAAGGAGGCGTTATGGTCTCTAACGACACAATGTCGCTATAGGTTATAGCGACTTCTATTTTTTTCTTTTTTAAAAAAAAAACATTTATTTACTTATTTTCTTAATTTGTTATTTTATTTTATATTATCAATTTAATATAAATTTAAATTTATAATTCTTTTTTATCCATTTCGTTTTAATTTTATTCCTTTATTTAATTTGTTAATTTTAATTTATATCTTTTAAATATTTTTTTAAACCATTTTTCCTTCAGTTTATTTTTTATTTTTTATTTTATATATACTAAATATTTAACAAAGGAAGCGCTATGACCTATAGCGATACAATGTCGCTATAGGCTATAGCGACTTCCATTTTTCCTTTTTTTAATTATTTACTTATTTTCTTAATTTGTTATATACTTTTGTGAAATTTTAATTTTAATGAAATTTCATTTTTATTACATGTATATTATAAATATTTTTAGTTTTATTTTTTTTGTTATTTTTGTTAAAAAATATATTATAAAAAATTATTTAAATGGTGGCGTTATAGGCTATAGCAACTTCATTGAAGGCGTTTTGTGTCATCATGGGCTATAGTGACATTGATAATATGGTGTTCATGGCTTCTTAGAATTTAAAAAAGTACACGTGTCATTGGTGTCACTATGACCCATAGCGACACCATAGTAAAATGCGTCAAAGGTGTAAATAGTTTCAAAACAGTCCTATTTACGTAAATAGTTTTGAAAAGTACCCCAAATTGGTCAATCAGCCTTTAGGCACGCATTTGCCTTAGAAGAGCATGAGTTCTATTTTCTTCCTTTAAACACCTAGGTTCTCTAGGAATTTTGGTTAGGGTAGCATCTGGGTAGGGAGATAGAGTATATGCAGTTGTGTCCCTGGACGAATGATGATGTGTTAAAGACTCGATCCATGGGTAACTCGTGGCAATACATTGAGAGTTTCTTACATGAGCATGTACTTACCTGCAACGAGAATGAGAGCATGTTGATTTGTTAACCTTGTGTGGACAAGGAACATGTGTGCGTAGGGCCCATTTTTGGGAGTTAAAAGTTTACTTTTTGTTATGGGACTATGGCCTCAAAGTTAAAAATGTGTTGGTCAATAATTGAGTGTGAACGCGAGATACTTGTCACTCACAACATAGCCCCTACTAAGTTACACCCAAATAGTTGGGCTTTTGTGGAGGTTATGAAATATTGTGTGAAGCTCTAGGCGTTGCCTCGATTGTAGATAAGTTTTTCTTTTTCTTTAAGTTTCGAGCAAATAAAAGAACTAATTGGGTGTAGGTGAGTAGGGTGCCAAAGAAAGGGTTATTAAGTCTTTATCAATCGTCCTATAAGGACTTTAAGAAGTTTTATTTTCAAATTCATTGTGTTGGGGAGAGTTTGAGTGTGCTAGAGCGATTCCCTCTTTATTGGACATTCAAACCTATGGTTTATGGTTAGAGGTTGATAAGTTATTGAAATCTAACCAAGACGACATGGAGAAGATTTTGTTGTTGAAGACCATGTTTAGTATCGGTAAATTGTTAAATCTAGAAGATAAACCTATCGAGCTGAAAAATATATAGGTATTGCATTAGTCATAGGTTAGGAATGTTTTGTCTTTCATATTATAGCTTTTGAATGTCATATTTGATATTTATAATTGAAAACTCACCAATTTGTTTTGTGATATTTATCTGTGTTGTTGTAGATTAACATTGTGAGCATGTCAAAGAATGAGTTAGCAAAACTTTACAAGCAACAAATGGTTGTGTTCCCGCTAGGAAACACTCCTACGTTGAAGCTCTCTAATATTTGATCTTCGTCCAAGCTGAGGTAATAACTTCCCGAATCCTTGTCCCGAAGGGAGGGGGAGGGTACCTATACAAAACAATAAATATTGTAGTATTAAATAATCAGACCTACCTCTTTTGTCTTTTCAGTGTGGTATTTATGGTGACATATTTGGGCCTAATGGGCCTCTAAAATTAAGGGATCGATAATCTAAGTTTAATCTATAATGTGGTTTTAATCATAATTGAGACGTGGTAACCATAGTAATTAAGATGTGATATATTTTATAGCCGAATACCCCTTTGGGTAGTGCCTTGGCTGAAGGGAGGTTCAGTTTTAGCAAAAGATGAGTGGTATGTCTTGCTTGAAGTCTCTTCGGATTAGTCTTCAGCCGAGTGGGTATTCAGATTGAGTCCCTCCTAGAACACTTCCCCCCCAAGCCCGAGTTGCGGAAACGATGGGGTTTGAACTTGACAAGTTAGAGGGATTCGGTTACATAGGGTGCTCAGTTATTAAAGTGACTGAATAAGGTGGGATGCTCGGTTCTTAAAGTGAATAAACATGATGAAGGTTCGGATTCTAATGTGGCCGAATAGGTGGAGTTTTGGTTTTTAAAATGTTTGAATAAAACGAATTCTCGATTTTGGAAATGATTGAATGGGATATTGGTTTTTGAAATGGGTGAATAGGATGGTTTTTCCAAAATGTTTGAATAGGACAGGGCTTCGGTTTTTGGGTAATTAAATGGGATGCGGGCCCGGTTTTTAAAGTGGACGAATAGGCATGTATGTGACACTATGAATGGAGGGCTTTGTACCCTTTAGAGATGTGTCATTCAATCATGGGTATTCGTGTTCTCTTAGTAACGTGACGGTAGCGTGATGCGCGTGGGCCTTGTTTTGGATTATGATATATTGCAACCTCGAGATTATTTATAAATGTATTAATTGTGCTGAAATTATGATATTTTGTCATGATGAACACCCACCTTTGGGACTTGATACTCTGATTGAGCAAAACAGTACGGATGCATCCGCTAGGCGTTTTTTGTCTTTTCAAGTGGCTATTGCGAGGTCTATATATGGGTGGGTTGTGGCCACCTGTGTATGCTACGTTTCCGCTCTATACTGAGACATTACAAGAGGTTCTTCCCGATCTCACTTTTAAGGTACGTCTAGGTGTGGTTGTTTTCGGCCGGATCTCTCGGGGTTGCCATGGCCATAGTCGAAGAGTTGGTTACGTTAAGTGGGTCTTCGTCTGGTAGTGGTGGTTCGGCCCATATAAGTGAGGCCGAGTTGTCCGCGAGCTCCTCTAAGCGTTTGTCTATGAGCAATGCGACGGATTCGTCAGATGGTTCATCACGGTCGAAACTTCCTGAGGTCGAAATGGGCCCTCTTGGTTTCAGGCAAAAATATCCACCTTGCAAGATACCAGGCTATGACTGGGTTGACGGAGAGGTGGTGGCCTATCCCTCACGTTTTTATGAGAGGGTCGCCTTGGAACGTTTGCTATAGAGGTGTCGAATGGCACGATAGGAATACATGGATCCCTACCCGGTAATGTTATGTCGCTGCAAGGCCGAAGGTCCTGGTGAGGTCGACTGGGTATTTCTTGAAAAGTAGGGGGATCAAGGTGATTTTTTCTATATGTACGAATGTATGTTCAAGGATCTCGGGGTGTCTCTTCAATTTGACGATTTTTAGATAGGCATTCTCTAGGTTCTTAACATAGCCCCGACTCAGTTGCATCCGAATGGTTGGGCCATCGTCCAAGCATTCCGAGTGCTTTGTAGATACCACTACATTGAGCCAAGTGTTGGTTTGTTCTTACATTTTTTCTGCATGCGCCTTTCCTCTAAGTCCGTGAAATGGGTGTCACTAATAAGGCATGTGGATCGGCCTCTATTTAAGTCGTTCACCTCTTCCTTTAAATGTTTCAAATCTGGTTTTTTGAAGGTGATGATCGATCCGATATTTGGGAGGAATTATTTCTATGATCGAGAAGGGCAACCACTATTCTCGTTCTACTAGACGAAGGCTCCCCGTAAATACGATGATTATCCTGAGGATATGCTTAGTCCGAGAGAGGCTTCTACCTTGGCATTTTTGAATACCATGCCCCGAGAGATCCCGTTCAGGTACTTGGTTTTGTTGCCTAAGTCGTCCCGTCCTCGTTATGACTTGAATGGTATGTGTTAATTGCATTTTTGTTGATCTCTATTGTTGGTCTGACCGAACTTTTTTTCTTTGCAGGATTCATGGCTCAAAGAGGTTTAGGGCTCTCCTACCGGCAAGCCATTCGCAATCCTGCTCCCAATGTCCAAGTCGAGGAACATCGTAGCGTGGATGTGGATGAGGAAGCAGGTGTTCGTGAAGCACGTTCCCCTCCTCGAGACCATGCTTCGCCCGAGGTTCAGCCAAGGAAAAGGAAGGATAAAGGGAAAAGGAAGAGCGGGGAAGTTTCTCGCACGGGTGGTGACGGTGCACGACCTCATAAGCACCGTCGAACTGATGGGTCTCATTTAGATTTGGCGATCCCTTCTTCCATTGTGGCACGTGATTTCTTGGCTCCGGAGATTCGTCCATCCATGATGTTGTCTTCTGATCTCTTGTCATCACAAGGTCATCGGATGCTAGATGCTACCACCCCTTCGGCCCAATGGGCAATGGCATGTGAACTCCAGGTTCGTGTGACTGCGATCCTTTGCAAACTTGCCTTGGAGCCTATGGAAGATGCTCATAATTTGAATAAGTCTTTGGAGGAAACAAAGATTGCTTAGCGTGAGGCTACCTCCACCGAGAAGTTACATCTTGAATCCGAGGTGGCGCACTTGAAGGAAGTCCTTGGGGATATGGAGGGCTGAGCTATCGCAGCTGAAGAGGCCGAGAAGATGCGAGTGGCTGAGCTGAAGGAGGTATTGGAGCGTGAGGCTCAGGGAAAGGTAGCTTCTAAGGCTGCAATGCAAGAGCTTTGGGTCGAGTGTGAGAATAAGATTATTCATGAGCATGAGTTAGGCTTCAAACATGCGGTTCGTCAAGGCACTTATTTTTGTAGTGTTCCTCCTACCTTTACCTTTGAAGTGAGCAGAGATTTCTATAAGGGCGTGTACATGGAATACAATGATATGCCGGAAGATGCTGAACCTGATGATATGGCTCCTTCTCGTTCAGCTACACTCGAGGATCCCGATAATACTATCCAGGATGAAGACTCTCATGGGAGCGATGAGGATGAGCACAATGTGGGCGATGATTAGGTGTTTTTCGGGCCTCAAGCCTCCGTGTTTTGTAATCGGAGGGCGGTTGGGTACATTTTGTATTTAGCTTGGGGGATATTCTTTTTGGTTGATTAAGGCATTGTTGGTCTACGTTTTTGTTTGTACCTAGGGCTGATAGTGCTCATTGTTCTAGTTTTAATGCTGATTGGGAGTTACTTTTATTATCGTCCTAACTCTTTTCTAGCGAAAGCCATCCTTGACTAAGTTGTGGTACTCGGGAGGGTTTCCGTTCGAGAGTTTAAATTGGATGCAATTGTTGGTCATCCTTGGCCGAGTGGTAGTACTCGGGAGGGAATAGTCTTGAGAAATCGTCCTTGACTGAGTGATGATACTCAGGAGGGTTTCATAATATTGAAGAGTTCTTTCGAAGTTGATAATTAAGATGATTTTCATTAATATGGTGCCTTGTTCAAAACCTTCCCAGTAAAACCTCCTTTACATGTTTCTTTTCTAGGAGGAAAAAACCTGGGGTAGGAAAAGAGTGCACCTAATGATACATTGAGAGTCTTAACTGTAATAATGCTTTAAGTGAGAGGCATTCCATGTGCGAGGGATAGTTTTCCTTGTGAGTTTCTCGAGCTTGTAGTTTCCATTCCTAAGGTCATACAGGATTCGGAATGGGCCATCCCAATTAGTGCCAGCTTACCTTGTGTTCGGTCCTTTCTTGCTTCTCCCATGACTCTCCAAACTAAATCTCCTGCTTGAAATTTGCGGGGCTTGACTTTATTCCTAAAACGTCTCGCAATCCTGGTTCTGCAAGCTTCCATGTTAATGAGAGCTCTGTCCCTTGTTTTGTCAATCAGATCCAGCTCTACACTAAGTGCTTCCGTATTGCCTTTTTCTTTGAACTGTTGTTGCCTTAGTGAAGGTTCTCTGATTTGTACTGGTATCATTGTATCGGTTCCATATGTAAGCCGAAAATGAGTATCGTTGGTTGAAGTTTGATGGGTACAACAGTAAGCCCATAGGATCTCAGGTAGTTGGTCTGGCCAGATGCCTTTTGCTTGTCCGAGTCTTCTTTTCAATTCTTTCAGGATGACTTTGTTCACTACTTCGACTTGGCCATTATTTTGAGGGTGCTCCAGATATTTCACCCTATGTTTAATGTGTAACCCATTAAGAAACTCGTTGAAGCGTCAATGTGAACTATAAACCATTGTCGGTGATCAGGGCATACGGAATGCCAAAACGGGTGATTATGTTCTTCCAGACGAACTTCTGAACATTGCTAGCTAATAGTGGCCAATGATTCTGCTTCGATTCATTTAGTGAATGTATCTACCTCGACTATTATGAATTTCACTTGCCCCTTGGCATGGGGAAAGGGTCCTAGGATGTCCATACCCCAAATAGTGAAAGGCCAGGGTGTTGTGACGAAGGTCAACTCATCTGCTGGCTTGTGTATGAGCGTCCCGTGTTGTTGACAAGGTTGACATTGCTGAATGAACTTGATGCAATCAGTGGTGAGGGTGGGCCAATAGTATCCTGCTCGCAAAACCTTGGCCACCATAGTTCACCCGCTTGAATGAGTTCCACATATTCATTCGTGGATCTCTCGTAAGACGTACTGGGCTTGCTCTGGCGCGGGGCATTTTAGGAGTGGAGTAGACAACCTCGCTTATATAAGTCACTTGCTATCATGGTGTATCGAGCGGCCTTTGTTTTTACCGTCTTTGCTTCAATTGGATCTGCTGGTAAGTCACTTTTTGTGAGATATGTCGTGATGCTTGTCATCCAGCTTTGGGGCCCTAACTGTGTTTGTAGACATTCACATTCGGTGATGCTTGAACTCAATAGTTCTTGTTGAAGGACACAAATCAGCTCAACAACTTAAACAGCATAATCAACTCAACAACACAGCTCAGCTCAACAACTTAAACAACATGATTAACTCAATCAACACAACTCAGCTCAACAACTTAAACAGCATAATCAACTCAACAGCACAACTCAGCTCAACAACTTAAACAACATAATCAACTCAACAACACAACTCAGCTCAACAACTTAAACAGCATAATCAACTCAACAACACAGCTCAGCTCAACAACTTAAACAGCATAATCAACTCAACAACACAGCTCAGCTCAACAACTTAAACAGCATAATCAACTCAACAACACAACTCAGCTCAACAACTTAAACAGCATAATTAACTCAATAGCTTAACGGCTCAACTCCTAATCTACAACTCAATCATCATAAAATAATATCTTTCAACACATAGTACAACATACAACTTTATAGCAACATATAACTTTATAGCAACATACAGCTTTCCTCTAACAACTTAGCAACATAGTCTACTAATAACTTCTATATAAATCTCAACACCTCTACACACTTCACATCATTCTTCTCACAATATTATCATCATGCACTTCATAACTTTCAACTATATCATCTCATCATATTTCACAACATAATTAGCCAACTCATAACATAAAACAACTTTAACCACTTAATTTCAACATGCTTCAACAATATCATCAATTCAACATATAATAGATCAACAACTTCACAACATACAACATATTCAACACATAATACAACTCACCCATCATGTTTACAACTCATCTATCATGCCAACCTACGCAACATATACAACATGAATTAACCTACACACCCAAGACAGCCTTCAACTTATCCAAATCACTCCTTGTGAAATGACAACCTTTACATAAAACAGCATATCGGGAGTTATACTACTCCTATCATGCTCATCCTTATCTCATATGAAAGATAAGAAGATTTCCTACAACTCTCATACCAAGTCCTAATTCCTTCATCTACCTTGTTAAAAATTCTAAAAACCGCAACAGCTAAAACCAATGCTGGCAGCTTGACCCCTCTTCACTAAAACAGCCATATCTGGAATTCTAGACCTCCTTTTTGGGTGATTCCAGCTCCATTGGAAAGCTAACATCCAAGGCTATAAGTTTCATGAAGACTTAAAGACCAACATACTCACTCCCAACGCATTAGTATCACACCCGACGCAAACTCAAATAGAGACTCACAAGAATCTCCATGCCCGGTGCGACTAGCCTCGCACCTGGCGTGATTTAACACTGGTGGCCCCGGATGAATGCACGTCCAGCTCAAATAACTGTGTCCGGCACATATTCAACCAGAAACCTCCAAAAACCTCGAAAATCCCTTCAAAACCTGAAAATCAGCAACTTCAACCACATGCAATCCATGAAATGCAACATATAGACGCCCTACAACTTAAAAATGAGTTCAGATTCAACATGCAACCAATCAATGCATCAAAATTGACAAAAACCCCATTTTTCCCAAAAACCCCAAAAGTGAGGAAATCACCCAATTCAACCACTTATTCTCGAATTCCATACATTAATGGAGTTCCTAAACTCCCATGCAACCAAACAACATACATTCTAGCTTTCCTTACCTGAAGATTGGCTCCGAACAGCCAAAAATTTGGGAAAAAGAAAACTCTCCTCCGAGCTCGACTCCCGAACTTCAATCCTTCAAAATCAAGCTTCTTAACCTGAATTCCAAGATAAGACAGAAGAAGTTAGTGATCTAGAGAAGAAGAATAATCAACCAAATAAATTTGAGAGAGAAAGGAGCTCACACACCTAGAGTTCTTCTCTCTAAAACTTCTCTCTAGTTTCTTTGAGAATGAACTTATGAAGTTTCCTTCTCAAAGAAACTCTTATATATTATTCGCTCTCTAGAACCAACTAAATTCAAAAATCTTCTCACTACGTTACAATCTATACATTTATATAATATAAAAAATTTAATCACATTATATTTATTAATTTATATTATTCAATTTTATTAACTTCTCAATTTATTTATACATAACTTACACATACATTATCAGTTTATAATTTAGCATTTCATACATATTAAATTTTCTACCGCTAATATAGTAAAAGTAAATAATATTTAAAACTATCACATCAATTAAAATCTACCACTCCAAAAGTTACAACATACACTACTTAAAAGTTAAAATATACAATATTCATTACATAAAATTAAATACATACACTACTTGTGAATAACTATCAATTTTAGATGAAAATATATATATATATATATATATATATATATATATA